ATGGGCACATGAGTTTGAACAGGCAGTGGACACACACTCTCGCACTACATGCTCTTCTCCGCTTCCACAACACTGCTTTGGTCGTGCTCAGCGGCTTGCGCCTGAGAAGAAGCCACAAACAGCAGTGACCAGCAGACCCAGTAGGGAGGGAGAAGTGAAGATTGCCAACTCCATGTCAGGTGCAGCCACACGCATCTGGTTTCGACAGTTGCGTCGACTGCAAAGCCTGAAACATGCAGTCATTGCCAACAAGCAAACTCTACATGCCCTAGAGTATCGAGATGAGTTGTGGCAATCCATCAGAAAGGCAGCTGGGTTTTCACCAGACTTCCCAACTTGGTGGAAGACACAGAATCATGCTGTTCAGGGCACACCAGACACTTTGCCCTGGTCAGTTCCCACAGAATCGGCCATTGTGTTGGCCATGTATGAGAGTTTTCTTTGCCACTTCAGGGCTTTTGAAACTTGGCATTTGCAACAACGTTCCAGTAGCCTGCGGATGAAGTATGCGGGCGCATTGAATGCTCTCTACCTGGATCTACGCAAAGACCCACGACCGGGAGTGGCTCATCTCTGGAAAGACGTTTGCTACACCATTTTGGATGTAGATGCTGAAGGCCATCAACTGCATGTTGACCAGCATATTCAACAAGCTGGCGATTTTGTTTGGATGCATCATGATCATTTTGTTGATGTCACTGGCTGCTCTGGAGACTGTCTCGACAGAGCGTTTTTCAGCTGGCGATGAACTTGTACAGCGCATTTTTTTCACAAACACCAATGAGATTTTGGATGCATTTGCCAGCCATTGGCAGCCTAGATGGAATGATTTTGCTGCAATCTCTACGGAGGATTGGAATCGAATCCTACAATTTGCAGCAGCTTACATGCCACGTCAACGATTTGACTGGCAGCCGTTGTCCACATCTATGTGGAAGGCTACGGTGAAACAGTTCAAGCCTCAGGCTGCCAGAGGGCCAGATGGTTTTGACAAAGCAGACCTTGCTGCCATGCCAGACAGCTTCCTTCAAGCTTTCTTACGTATGATGCATCACATTGAGTACACAGACACTCCATGGCCGTCGCAGCTATGCTTTGGAACAGTCATTGGACTGGCAAAGACTGAGGATGCTCATGAGGTGGGTCATTTTCGGCCAATTACATTGTTTTCAACATTGTACCGTACTTGGGCGAGACTCAGAACAAAGCAACTCTTGCGACAGATGGTGAGGTTTGTCCCTCCAGAAGCACTTGGATTTTTGCCCAAGCGGGAAACTACAGAGGTCTGGCTACTGCTCCAGGCACAAATTGAGCTGATGTTGCAACAGGACCACACCTACTGTGGATTGTCGACGGACTTGAAGCGTGCCTTTAATAATATTGGCAGAGAACAGGTCTTCTTGGTGGCAAGACACATCGGGCTTCCAGACCCTCTACTTTGCGCTTGGCAGAAGTTTTTAGGATGTTTTGTCAGACGCTTTGACGTGCTTGGCAGTTTGGGCAATGAATTGACCTCAGTGTCGGGCTTCCCAGAAGGTTGCCCACTGTCCATCGTTTCAATGCTAGTGGTGAATTGGAGCTACCATGTTTACATGAAGGCCTTTTGTCCACGAGTCACCAACTTTTCTTTCGTGGACAACCTCACTTTGGCTGCTAGAGAAGCTCTTCTGGTTGTGCAGGCTTTCTTTGCTCTGAAGTCAGTTTGTGCTTTGTTTGGACTGGACACAGACGATGATAAGACCTACGTTTGGGGACTTCATCGTGCGGAGCGTCTTTACCTTGCTGAATTGGGCTTCCAATGCTTGACTGATGCTAGCGAGCTGGGAGGCGCCATGACCTACGGAGCCTCTAGACGCAATCGTGTCCTGCGGGCACGAGGTGACAAGCTGCAGGACAGATGGAAGAAGCTCAAGGCCTCGATGGCACCACAACTACAGAAGTACTCCATCCTGTCGAAAGTGTTTTGGCCTCAGGCCTTGCATGGCTCATCCAATTGTCTGATCTCAGACAATTATGCAACTGCCCTGCGACGTGCTGCTACAAAAGCCATTGGTGTTAGTGGAGCCGGCTCCAATCCCATGTTGCGCCTGTCGTTGGCGGATGACATGGCCACTGACCCAGGTTTCTATCAACTTCAACTTTGTATCAGTACTTTTTGCAGGATGTTGCGGAAATCAGATGATCTCTTGCCAATGTGGCGAACATGGATGCATGGATATGATGGAAAGGCCTTGCCTGGGCCCTTTTCCAGACTGCTGCACTGCTTGTCTGGTATTGGCTGGACCATTGAGGAACCTCCGATAGTCTCGGACCATGACGGCAGATCCTGGAACATCATGCTCATGGACAGCAAGACTCTCCAGACCCTGCTCCAGGATGCCTGGCTACAGTATGTTGCTAGCCAGGTCAAACACAAAACTATGAGGGACCTACATGGCATTGCAGGTGAAGTGACTCTCCATGATGCACGGAGGATGTCTTCTTTGGACAGAGCCAGGCTTTCTGCGCTTCACTCTGGGGCTTTTGTGAGTAACTACGAGCATGCCAAGTACGATTGCGAGAAAACCTCTATGTGCACCCTTTGCAACACTGAGGATGATCGAGAGCATTGGTTGCATTGCCCACGTTTTCAGTCTTTGCGGATGAGCATATCTGGCTGGTTCCCTGACAATGTGGAGCTACCTAAGTGCACCATACACCACTTGCTGGTGCCAAGGCTGGAACTTCTGGTAAACTGGAGACATTTGCTCTATGCGATACCTGACTCATCAATTTTTTTTTGCTTCCCCCCCCCAATAAACGGTTTGCATCATCTTTTTCTTGATGGGTCATGCACGGTGGAAGCTCATCAAGTTTTGCAGCATGCGGCCTGGGGCGTTTTGGATGCTACTGCCGGAGAGGTTGTGGCCACGGGCCACGTGCCAGGCATCACTCAGACCATCGACCGGGCTGAGCTCATGGCCTTTCTTGCAGCACTCACATGGGGAGCTTTTTCAGCTGTTGAACTTGTTTGTGGTCGGACTCTCAATCCACCATTCATGTAGCCGAGCACATCCAGAAGTTCGATGAGATACCAGAGGGTGCCTCCAACCATGATCTTTGGCATTTGGTGCAGCAGGCATTGCGTGACAGAGCAGGTGTCTTAACATGTTTTCACTGGGTACCTTCACATGTTCCAGCGTCAGAGGCTGAAGATCCCTTCGAGGAATGGGTGATTCACTGGAATGACTTGGCTGATCAGTTGGCTGTGTACACCAACTACCAACGCTCAGCTGCTTTCAAGCAAATGCATCAGGCATTGAGGAACTCCCTGCATGACTGGGCTAGTAGACTCCAGCAATTGCGGCAGTTCTTTTTCCTGGTTGCCGACCGTGAGTCCAGGACCATTGAGGGGGACAATGAGACCATTCATATTGAGTCTTCAGATGAAGACGACATGCTTTGGACGGCCATTGAAGACAACCTCCCGGTCAACTGGCAAGTGCAATGCCTCCACAACCATGCTGCTGTGCCTGGAGCTTTTTTGGTAGGGCTCATTAACTGGCTTTGTGCGGCTGAGCGTCTGAGAGGCCCAATTCATGGTGTTAGTGAACTTGAATTAGTTTTCTTTTTGCTTTTGGACAAGGATTTTGCATTTCCTTTCCAGGTAGATGGTTCGTTGGGGGTGCACATGAGAACACCGGACAGCCTTTTCCAACGACCAACGGTAGGTCACATGCTGAGATCTGTGCAGCATGCTCTCAAGAGCATATTTCAGCTGTTTCCTTTTTTTGCCATCAAGCTGCCACGGGCTCCAGCACCAAGCCTGGGTGTACAAATGCAATTTGCGGGTCTACGGATTTCTGTCCCTAGCCTGCTGCGGCAAGAGATGATGGCGAATTTGAGGCGCTTCACGGCGACCAGGCCGATCAGGCGCGTTTCCGATTTAGCTAGGCCGGTGACCTAAACCAGACTGAGCTGTACAGCACTGCATTGCCGTGCCTGAGAAGTCGTCCGAGCTATAGGTGATCCATAGCCACCTGGATACGTAAGAGATAATCCGGATTTCACCATCAAACATCAACGGGTCTGGGCAACACTGTTTAAAAATGTTTAAAAGCTACAATTGGAATGTCACCTTCCGAACTGTGACTATGGTTGATAGAAGGTATAATGTGGATTTGACCAGCAAAAGCATTGAGTTATGGGTACCAGTCAACAATGGGCTTGGAGTGCAAGCAACAGAAATGGGGATGCTGGCGACAGAAATCGGGATACTGTACAACCCGACTGAAGAACAATTGTAAAATTGCTGTGACCCGCAGTTTTTAGGGAGTATCTTGAGATACGATGGGGATAGCCTGGGATTATTATCGTGAATTGGATATTTACCTATATTATTATATAGTTGTTTGATGATTTTGGGACATTTTAGCACCATCAAATGGGGATATAGCAGATATTCGAGTGGATAAACCCGGGTAATGGGCCTTTAATACGATGGGGATCCTTTATGGGATGTAACCAATCGTATGGTATTTGGGTTTCTCCACAACCCATGGATGGCCCCCACCGGGTATGGAGGATGCGGCGGGTCGTTTGCCCCCAAAAAAACTTAGCTATCATATCATATTCCACGAGAGATATCAACAGTTATAGTTATTGCTTGGTGGTTTCAAACATGAAATATATGGTTAATAGTGGTTTAATAGTGGGTTAATAATGGTTAATGAGATATATTCTGGCTGGTGGTTTGGAACATGAATTTTATTTTCCATAATTATATGGGATGTAATCTTTCCCATTGACAAACTCATATTTTTCAGAGGGGTGATTGGCTGAATCCTCATCCAAGTCACAGGGCTACCCCCAGTGATCCTCACTTTTACAGATCGGGTATCCCCCGTGACTTAGGTAGGAACCTCCCATATACCACTATTAAAACAATATTAAACCACTATTAAACATTATAAACCCACAATTAACCACTATTGACCATCATATCTTTGGCATCTTTCCAGGAGATTTCATCCCCACGGGCTGCATCCCCACGCTCCCCACGGTCCCCATTGGGGCCTCGCTTTGGTGGCTCAGCGTCCCTGCGGGAGAGTTGGTACAGGGAGATACGAATTATTCATTGAATGTATTCAATAAGAGTGTAATCTGGTTGGTGGTTTGGAACATTTCTTATTTTTCCATATACTATATTGGGAATAATCATCCCAACTGACTTTCACGTTTTTTCAGAGGGGTTGAAACCACCAACCAGTAATAGAACTACCCTCTGGTTATTTGACATAGCTATGGAACATGGTCCATTTACCTTTTTTTCCCAGCTAGAAACCTCCATTTATCATGGATTTTCCATAGCTATGTTAAATAACCAGATGGTAATATGTTAATATCGATATTAACATGTTAGTTAACAATGAATGTGATGGAATGAATGGGATTAAAAAGTGGTTTAAGCAACAAAGATTGGGAAACATTGAGAATTTATATGATTGAATATGAATGATTTAGTATTTAAAGAGTATGCAACTATAGTTAGATAGGTTGCATAATAAGTCCCTGAATTTTTCGAATGACCAGCAAGGAACTGTCTCGGAAATGAACCCATCAAAATACCCCTGGCGATTGATTACAGGGGATTATTCTAGCAATTTCTTGCCCATATTTCAGGGCCGAACATATTCCATGCCAAAATATCAGGGAATTGCGAAGACCCCTTTCAGGTGAAATTTGCATTTCATACAGTTTGCCAAGTACTCCTTTTCTTCTGGCATGTACGTTGTCGACTGCACATGTTCTTCCCCAAAGAAGATCCTTACTTTCAACAATTTCTGGAAATGTCATAATTAATAATGTTGAGCTTTCCAAAAATTGATTAATAATGTTCTTATGGGAATTTGTCATCTACTCTTTTCAGGATCTCAAAGCCCAATTCATAAGCTTTAAGCTTACGTTCTGGCACGCTTGGCTGGCCTTTCATCAGCAGCGCCATCCCCATCTTTCTTGACATCTTTGTGGCCCCGCAAAGAGCTCTGCACAACAGGATCTGGGAACACAAATCATCGACGATCCTGTTTTCTTCCGTGCGAAATAATTCCACCGATAGAGTACGATGCCACCCCTGGAGTGCGCTAATTTTCTGGAATGCGAAAATAAAACAGTATGCGTGGCCCCCTTCGACCTTCCCCATGGATCCAACACCAGTTTTTTTCCATCATATACCAGAAAATTATCACATTTCACCCTGCGGAGCTTTTTTTTCTTTTTTAATTTCTGGTCATTTTTGGCCAAAATGGCCTGGAATGCGATAGTATGTGAAACTACAGACGTCTCACGCGAAACCGCTACCTTGCCCATATTCCAGAAAACGTGATTCCAGGCGATTTTAGCCAAAAAAAACCAAAAAAAAAAAACAGAAAAAAAGAGAAAATCACCGAGTACGAAGATTTTATGGAGCGCGAAGATCTTGCAGAGTGCGTAGATTTTGCAGTATGTGTACGTCCCTAGCTGTGGAGTGCGATGCCTTCGCTGGAGTGCGAAGAATTTGTGGAATGCGAAGAATTCCGAGTATGCGTGGCTGGTATAGAGACCACATAGGGAAATTTCGGGGCCAGAACCAAAATTCCAATCCCAAAGCCAGCCCAAACTTCCAGGGGCACACCAGTGGGTTCTATTTTTCCGAGTTCACCTTGGGTGAGGTCCCGGGGAAGAAACTTGCTAATTTTTACTCAGTCAACCTTTAAACACGTTACCTTTGACAACCCTGTCCTTCTTCGGTAGACAAATGAGGAAACTTCCTTATCAAAGCAGCCTTCAATTCATTCAACGTCCACAGCTGCTTTGGAACGACATAGGGGATAGAAAGCTGTGGGGGGGCATTCAGTGGATTCGCCGTGGGCCAACTGTTCCCTCCAGATTGAGCAAAAATGCCTATCAAAGCAACATACCAAAAGCCAGGTCTGGAGTACGATGAAAACATGGTATGCGAATATTTTCTGAATATGGGAATGTTGCCTCTAGAATTATACCGCCTGGCTTATCGGTGATGCTTATAATCCACAATAGAGACAACTAGTGTATAAACCAATATAGTAATGTAATGTTTTGTGTATATCCCAATAGATATACAATCTTGGGGTATTCCTATGATTATAAGTTATAATCAACTAATAAATAATGGGATTGGATATAGGGGTACTTTTTTTGGCTCAAATGAGCATTCAAAGTCCTGCTGGTTGACCATGTAAGGTTTTTAGCAGCCAGTATTGTGGATGACAATCATGCATGAGCTGAGAATCCCTTCTAACTAACCTGCATTTCATGGAAAGACAGATGGTTTTGAACACTGTTCAGATGGGATATCACCCATGAATCATGGGTTGTTGTCCTGTGATTATTCACTAACATGGTGTTCTATGAATGACTAAACAAATCCACAACCCAGTTATTGAAGGTTTATGAGACACCCCACACTCCAAATGATGGACTGTGCTCTGATTGGGCAAAGGGGGTGAATAGCGATTGTGGCTTCATATTTTGTTTACGTCCTTCCTTTGCTTCTTGTTGGATTGATGCAGGACTTTGACACCGCGAAAAGGGTGGCGAAGCCCAAAGTGTGTTCCCTCTGCGGTTACTCCGCCTGCGACGGAGGGAGTGACATGACACAGGACTCGCAAGATCGTTTGGATCTACCGACTTGCGGTGCGGGCAAATTCCTCGAGCCATGCTCCAAATTTATGCAAAACAGCACGTCTCCCAGTACAAAATCCCACTCTGGAAGTTATTGCACCAGACGCTTTACAATCATTGGCTTCGTCGATTGGCTCATGGGGGAGGTGTATGTTGTGTAGCTGGACAACATTGGATCCCCGGTCTTCGCCTCCGAGCTCATTCAACAACTTGTCTTTCTCGAGGGAAAGACATCGATCCCTTAGCCAACGAAACAGGTAGTATGTTCAGAGCCACTTCTAAATAGCATCCCTTGAAATCCTCCGCAGAACTCATCGAGTCTGCGAGTCACCCATCAGATAATCCATTGGGCTAGGGGCATACTGATTCCTCCTATCTTGCATTTGACGCTTATTAGTTGTGACATTGTTGTGACTGTATGAACATGTATGCAGCTCTCTCTCTTTGTTTTGTGAGACTTACAATTTACATCAATTCACAACAACATATTTCATCCTTCGTCCATCCCCTTAACCATATTATGTTCAAAAAAACCTACCCAGTTCATGGCGTCTCCGCATCCAGCCCCTAACCATGGCGTTCAGGTCTGGAGCAGTACGAACCCTATGAACGCTTCATCAACCATCAGCTCCTTGGCATCGGCGATCAAACTGTTGACCCCATGGATCCAGCCATGGTTTGAAACTGGGGATTTAACTGAGAAAACTGTGGATATAATGTCAAAATTCTAAAATGTCAATATTTGATGGTATTTTTTGATGATTAACTGATTTTAACTGAATATCTATTCATGTAGAAACAGTGATTTTCTGGGAATACAATGGGATACAAAATATACAAAGGGGTGTACTAGGATATAACTAAGTTCATATGATATCTTGGTGTGTTTGAACATGCTTAGAAAAGAGTATGCACACAAAACCGCAATGTGGAATCGGCAACATGGTGATTACTGCAACCAGTGCGCGGAATTGGGTATCCTGTGGCTGTATGGTACCCTATTTTCGGACAACCGAACCCATTTATTGGGATTGTATATTATAGCATCGGGAATGTAACCAACACACTGGTGATAAACCAACCAGGTGATAGGTAGGGATTTGTCGGCATTCAAAATCTGGTTGGTGATTTGGAACATTTTTTATTTTTCCATATATTGGGAATAATCAGCCCATTTGATGGAACATCCATATTATATTGGAACATGAATTTATGATTTTCCAAATAGTTGGGATGATGATCCAATCTGACTTTCATATTTTTCAGGGGGGTGAAACCACCAACCAGTGATGGTTTTGGCAACGATTTATGATCCTAAGCAGCTCAAAAAACTCGTTCGTATGGTGTCCAACATTGGCCATGATACATGATGGTCTATGTTCAGACGTGTTTACAGCCAGAAAATGGAGATTTGTGTCATGTAAAGCATCGGCAAAGAATATCCACCAAATATGGGATGCAGACCAATCAAAATAGGGGACAAGAGATTACAAACCAACACAGCTGGTGATATGAATCCGTAATTAAAAATCAACAGACATGGGGATATCGCAGAGAAAACATTGACACAATTGAAGACATTCAGCAAATTAGTGAACTTTAGTTCGATACTCAAGGCCTTACCCACACATGAAAATATTATATAATATATCCCTATACTGCACATATCGCCCAGATACAGAAATTACCTTAAAAAGATTGTCTCTGAGATTGTCTATGATTCATCAGCAGGTTACATTGGGATCTGTCACCGGGTGATTTTTTCCATGATGCGGTGTTTTCCAGGGCCGTTTTTCCTGGTAATGTTGAGGAAATCCTCAAGGGTCGACGGGTCGAAAAGGATGTGGTTTTTCTAAAGGGCTATATACGCCTGGATGGGGCCCCCGTTCGATAGCTAGCGTTCAGTTGCCGCAAATAACTGGCTGAATTCTATAGTTTATGGTATATATATATATATACCATTTGGTTATTTAACATAGCCATGGAAAGATCCACCCATGTTTAATAGCTAAACCATCTATTTCGATTAGGGCCATCTATACCAGGGCGAACTGTTAGTCATAACCAGAGGGTATATCCCATTGTTAGTGGGGCCCCATCCTGCTGACGGATGGTTGTTGGATCTTCCGACGAACGTTGTGTGTAGTTTCAGATGGATTGTAGACAGATCTAGATTTTATAGGTGATTCTTGAATTTGGGACTAGCTGGTTTCACATTTTTTCCCATTCAAAGTGTAACCTTTAAAGTGAATGAATCTCAGAAGTTGCTAAGCTTTCTTTCTGTGCTCAAGCACCCGATGTTCCTCTCTGTCAGAATTGGTCATAGATCACCATTGCCATCCCATTGGTTGAATCAATCTATGTCCAATTAAGTTTAGTCTGGTTGGTGGTTTGGATTATTTTCCCAAATAGTTCGGATGATGATCCAATCTGACGAACTCATATTTTTCAGGGGGGTAGGTCATTCACCAACCAGTAGTGGTCGTGTTTAATGATCTGTTCGTTATGAAGGTGATACCCCTTCCGGATATGTCCACGGTTGATGGCGACATCTTGTGAAAAATCCCATGATTACCTTCTGGTTATTCAACATTTCTATTGACAATGGCTCATTTACAGATGATTTTCCCAGCTAGAAACCTCCATTTATCATGGCTTTTCCATAGCTATGTTAAATAACCAGATGGTAACGGTTTCTGTTTAATGTATTCTTGTAAGCAGATTTGACTGTTTTATGGTGTTAGCTAAAGTTCATGCTCCCATGTTCAATGTTTAAAACTCATATTTTCAAGGCTAAAATCATTGTCTCGTTCCGTCTGCTTTTTGCTTAAGTCTTCATTATACATTCGTATTGTATGTGTATATATATATATACATTTATATTATGTATAATATATATATATGATATATATATATATATATATATACATATTTATATAATGGGACGCAATTTTAGAAGCAATTGCCGGAATTATCGGAGAGCCCTGCTTCTAATTGAAATGGACGTTGCAAACCCCCCAAGTCCCGTTCAAATAGAAGCAATTGGTTTTTCAAGGTCCAAAGCTAAGAATTGCTTCTATTTGAACGAGCCCCTGGAAAATATGCAAAAAAAAAGCATTTTTGTGAGTTTTGCTGATGAAGTATGATAAATTCTCTGGGACATTGACAAGAATTGTACACTTTTGTGCCAAAATGTGCAAAAAACCATGCCTTTTCAACTCGTTTTGAACTTTTGACTCAATGTTTGACCACAAATGAGTATGATCCCTCTCTAAACTGTGCAGTGTGCAGCATTGCAAGGCAGGTTGAGCACGACCAGTGTTTTCCATATTGGGCAAAGACAAGGAGACCCAAACGAGACAGTGTTTTGCAGTTTGGATGTTTCTCTAAGATCTCCACTTCAAAGCAGTCTAATCAAATAGAAGCTATAGGATATGGGATTGCTTCTATTTGAACAAGCCCCTCGAAAACACACAAAAACACAGCATTTTTGTGAGTTTTGCTGATAAACTATGATAATTTCTCTGGGAAATACAAGAATTGTGCACTTATGTGCCAAAATGTGCCAAAAAACATGCGTTTTCAACTTGTTTTGAACTTATGACTCAATGTTTGACCACAAATGAGCATGATCCCTCTCTAAACTGTGCAGTGTGCAGCATTGCAAGGCAGGTTGAGCACGACCAGTGTTTTCCATTTTGGGCAAAGACAAACGAGACCCAAACGAGACAGTTTTTTGCAGTTTGGATGTTTCTCTAAGGTCTCCACTTCAAAGCAGTCCAATCAAATAGAAGCTATAGGATATGGGATTGCTTCTATTTGAACAAGCCCCTCGGAAATATACAAAAACACAGCATTTTTGTGACTTTTGCTGATAAACTATGATAATTTCTCTGGGAAATTGACAAGAATTGTGCACTTATGTGCCAAAATGTGTAAAAAACATGCGTTTTCAACTTGTTTTGAACTTATGACTCAATGTTTGACCACAAATGAGTATGATCCCTCTCTAAACTGTGCAGTGTGCAGCATTGCAAGGCAGGTTGAGCACGACCAGTGTTTTCCATTTTGGGCAAAGACAAACGAGACCCAAACGAGACAGTTTTTTGCAGTTTGGATGTTTCTCTAAGGCCTCCACTTCAAAGCAGTCCAATCAAATAGAAGCTATAGGATATGGGATTGCTTCTATTTGAACAAGCCCCTCGGAAATATACAAAAACACAGCATTTTTGTGATGTTTGCATAAACTATGATAATTTCTCTGGGAAATCTGTGGGGGTACTACAAGGCAGTATGTCTTGGCCCGGAGGGCTCTGAAGCGGCCCTGCATTTGCAAAAGATTGAGGACGAATTGAAAATTCACATGTAAACTACTGTATACTTTTGGTTTCCTAGTGAACCTAGGCTGACCACCTCGAGGGCGAATGCTCAGCAAACTATTCAGTATGCATATGTATATATATATAGTTTAGCTATTCTGGACTCCTCAAACTCAAATTTATGTTGTTTTGAGCTCTGTGGCCAGCCCCAATCCGCAGGGGATCGATCCCAGACCGGGGTCATGGGGTGAAAAAAAGGTGTTGGGGTCGGCAGGGAAACATGTTTTTGGGGAATTTCGTTGTATTTTACAGGAAAAATGCCTCTCCAGTACCAGCTCCCGTTCAAATAGAAGCAATTGTTAGTGAATCGGTCTGTTTTACTAATTGCTTCTATTTGAAACGGACTCGGCTACATATGGACTTGGGCCTGCTTCTATTTGAAAAAAATATTTAATATCTTCTAAAATAGCGTCCTGTAATATATTCATATTTATATATATATATATATACATATACTAAGCCCCAAATAGATAGAACAGTGATTTCTCACGCTACTTCCGTTGTCTTTGGAGGTTCTGTAGTATATCCCAAGTTCAACATGTTTATATTTTGCAGCACTGAGGCTGGCTTTGTTGGACGAAGAGCTGCTGGGCGCAAATTGGGATTTTACCTACAAACATAGAGATTTCACGTACAGAAATAGTGATTTCGCCCAGCAAATGGGATAGGGAAATGAGAGCTTAAGCAATTAAGATGGGAATATAATGATATCAGCAAACATAGTGATTCAATATTCCCATCAATGATAGTTGGGAATATCACTTAAGCAATAATGGGGTTTCAATTTACAAACACAGTGATTCAATATTCCCATCAATGATAGTTGGGAATATCACTTAAGCAATAGTGGGGATTCAATTTACAAACATAGTGATTCAATATTCCCATCAATGATAGTTGGGAATATCACGTAAGCAATAATGGGGATTAAATTTACAAACATAGTGATTCAATATTCCCATCCATGGAAGTTGGGAATATCACTTAAGCAATAATGTGTATTCAATTTACAAACATAGTGATTCAATATTCCCATCAATGATCGAAGTCAAACTTCCGACAATATGGACAGATGAAAAGCAGAGATGGGAAGAGTCAGAGAGAAGAGAAGAGTAGAAGAGAGAAGATCAGAGAAGAGAAAGAGTCAGAAGAAAGAAGGTGCAGATGCGCGAAAAGGTAGGAAAGTCGCAAAACACTGTGTTTTTCCAATGATTTGTGGCTCCGGAGGGTCGAAAAGTAGGCTCGCTAAAGCGGCGGGCGCGGAGCCATCTGGCCAGATGAGAGATGAAAAATTGCACGCCGTTGTGGCGCGAAACACACTTCGAAGTCAAATGTACAAAACACACCAGGTCCGGACCACTTTTCGAAGTTGAGATGTCGAAAAAGTGCACGCCGTTGTGGCGCGAAGCACATTTCAAAGTCAAAATGCACAAATACACCATGTATGGACCACTTTTGGACGTTCAGATCTCGTTTCGCGTGGCAGGCGCAAGGGATTGCGCACCTTGTCAAAAGGGAGCAAAACGCGAGGGTTTTGTAGCATTTCCAGAAACGATGGCAGGCGTGGGACATTTGAAGAGGATCTGCAAAGATGCATTTGCCGTGGCAGGCACAGTACAAGAGACATCTTCATCGGAGCTGTTAGGAGGTGAGGGCGCTGATTTCCTTGGAGCATCAGATCTTCAGGTTTGCTGAGATGATGTTGCGTGACAGGTGCAGCACTTCGTATGACCTGGCATCACTTTTTCGTGGCAGGCGCAGTGCTTTCGACAGGTGGACTGGAAAAATCGCAAAATGCATTGGTGCGAGGCTGTCAGCTCTGCACTCAACTTTCCATTTTTGAAGGAAGTCTCGCAGAATTGCTTTTTTTTTGATGTTGCCAAGTTCAAAAATTGAAGAAGCCGTCAGAATTGGTTCGTTTTTGATGTTGTCAAGTTCAACAACTGAGGAAGTCTCGCAGAATAGCTTCGTTTTCAAGCTTGCAGATAGACAGGTAGATAGATGGATAGATAGATAGATAGACAGATAGACAGATAGATGGGTAGATAGGTAGATAGATAGATACATAGTTAGATAGACAGATGAGAGAGAGAGAGAGAGATCGATAGATCGATAGATCGATAGATCGATAGATCGATAGATCAATAGATCGATAGATCGATAGATCAATAGATCGATAGATCGATAGATCGATAGATCGATAGATCGATAAATCGATAGATCGATAGATCGATAAATCGATCGATAGATCGATAAATCGATCGATAGATCGATAGATCGATTGATCGATTGATAGATCGATAGATAGATAGATAGGTAGGTAGGTAGGTACGTAGGTAGGTAGGTAGGCAGGCAGGCAGGCAGGTAGGTAGGTAGAAGATAGATAGATACATAGATAGATCGGTAGGTAAGTAGCTAGATAGTCAGAGAAAGAGAGAAAGAGAGAGATCTAGAGAGAGAGAGAGAGAGATAGAGAGAGAGAGAGGAGACCTCAACCACCTGTCGGTCCATCAGTGGATTCGCTTTGCCGTCCGTGATTGACAACAACCAAGCTCCCCTATAGGTTTCCTATTTTTGAAACTTCCGCCACCGCCTTGTGCGGTGCTACTGGTAGTTGGGAATATCACGTAAGCAATAGAAGGGATTCAATTTACAAACATAGTGATTCAATATTCCGATCAATGATAGTTGGGAATATCACGTAAGCAATAGAAGGGATTCAATTTACAAACATAGTGATTCAATATTCCGATCAATGATAGTTGGGAATGTCACGTAAGTGATAATGGGGATTCAATTTACAAACATAGTGATTCAATATTCTCATCAATGATAGTTGGGAATATCACTTAAGCATTACTTAAGCAATAGTGGGAATTTAATTTGAAAACATAGTGATTCAACCCTGAGCATCGGCTATTGATTCAAATCAATAAGATCATAGCAAATTATATTGATATTGATTTGGATCGGTTTAATTGATTTTTTCAATAATTTCATTTTCACTTGATTTTGGCAAGTTTATTGATTGAAAAATTTGGTTTTCTATTGATTTGCCATTTGACAAAGCTATTGATTTCAAAGGAGCTGCTTCCAGAGCTTTCTTTGCTCAAGTGTTTTCCATGTCCCTTGTTGAAAGGTGTATTTTCCCTTGTTGAAAGGGCATGTCTTTTGGAAAAGGTGGTGCAAGGCACACACCAAAGCCACAAGTAGATGCAGACCTGCTCTTGCAGTGCTTCTCAGAAAACAGTGAGTTGTTGCAAAATCTGGGAATCTATGAACAAGTGTCCCAATCCCAGGCTGCTCAGCCTAAAGGGCTGGTGCACTGCTTGCCCTTGCTGAAAGGGTTGCTTGCATTGGGGCCCACTTGTGAGATCCATGGAAGCAGCTTGAGACAAGGTGTTTTCCAAGCTCTGCTCCAGAACCCTTCCCTCAATGACAGCAAGTTTAATGGTGAGACCTGGGTGGGGATTCGAGTGGAAAGAATCACAGTGCTTCTCTTCCACATGAGAAGACTGGCAGCATCAGCAGATCTGAGGGCATGTGCTTCCAAGCTCACAGGGCCAGACTTCTTGAAATTGCAAGATACCCTTGCACTGATAGAGAGAAAGGGCCAACAGCAAATGGAGCTGCCCCTTGTTGAAAGGGAAGCAGAGGAAGAAAGCACAGAAAGAAGGCAGTTAAAAAAGAACATTTCAGAAGTTTCTGTGGACAGCAATGGTTTCCCCAAAGCCTTGGCAACCCCTGCCAAAGAACCAAGTGAAGCTGAAGCCCCCTTGGTAAAAGGGGAAGAACCAGGTGAAACTGTCAGAGGGCTGCCAGGGCCTTCCTTCAAGAGGAGAAGACCAGGCAGCCTTGCTTGGCAAGAAGTTGCACCTGGAGGAAATGCCAGTCTCAGGGATGCTTTGGGGATTGGAAAGGGCTCTGCCAAAAAGCCAGCTGCCAAGAAAGTGAAGAAGAAAGAAAAAACAGCAACAAGCAGTAAGGACAAAACACCCTTGGTAAAAGGGAAGTCCTCCAGCAAGAAAGGGGAACCCTCCTCCAGCAAGAAAAAGCCCTTGATAAAAGGGAAGGTGCCCGCCTCCTACCCAAGAAAAGCTTGGACCAAACTTTTGGTAACCACAACTTCTAAGGCACCATGGAGAACTTACATCACTGGGACCACAGAGCCAAATGGTAAGAAACATCTGATTGTGGAAACCACAAAACACAAGCACCCCAAATACAAAGAAATTTTGCAGAAAATCAAAGAAAGATTGGAAGAGGACAACATAACCAAAGAAGAAGCCCTGGAGCTGAGACAAGAACTGTATGCCAACTTCCCTTGATGAAAGGGAACTATAGTTGCACTGCAGTTTCAAAGAATGGATGGTAAATTTCCCTTGTTGAAAGGGGTTTCTTGCCAACATCTGTTCAAAAGATATAAGCTAGCTACCCTTGCTAAAAGGTTTTTTGGCACTTTAGTTTTTGGGGCAGCAACTTTGCTGAAAGGGCACAGTAGCCTTGCTAAAAGGCTAAAGCTGCTGCTGCTGGGACCACTCTGGCTACAAAAGCCTTGGATCAGGTTTGGTTGTTAAAAAATATAGCCTTGAAGAGGGCCCAGGGGCTGGTGAAAGGAAGTTTGGGGCACCACACAATGCCCAGGGTTTGGACTGCCACCACACACATACTATAAACAATATATATATATACATACCCACTTGCAGTTTGCATGTGTGTATCTGAACATGCTTGCATGCATGGTACCATTTGTATCTTTACCATATGTTTTCAGTCAACATGTGCATGTGTCATGTTTAATTGGTTTGATGTTTAAAAGAAGGGGGTATAGACACAATTAAAACAAGGGGTACCAAAAGATAACAATAATATGTTTGTTATTTTTTATGTGTTAATTTCAGATTTCATGTTAACAGACCATGAAATTGTAAATCTACATCATCTGCAGGTGCCATTACTGTAATGCATGCACTGTTTTTTCTATATGGTTTGCCACAGCACCACCCACACCCAGGTCCCAGGTCCCATGCACAAGTTTGGCAACCTCTCCATCTGCAGCTGTTTAAAGCATCAATTCGACTAGGTATTGCTGCCCTTGTTAAAAGGGCATTCAGTTTTGCCCAGGCCAAAAGGGTCTTCATCCTACCCTTGTTAAAAGGGCTGGGCATCTTGTCCCCTTGATAAAAGGGATGCCATGGAACAACAAAGGAAGGCCCACAGGAGCAGGCACTTGCAGCAGATCAAGGCAAGAGAAGTTCAAAGAGAAAGGTGAACAAAGGGCCATGGTGAAGTGGGACAAACAATCAGAGTTTGAAAGGGATGCCATTGCTAAAATGGCAGAGGAGGAGGCAAAGAAAAAGAAGGCAGAGGAGAAAGGAAAAGGCAAGGGGTCTGGGAAAGATCAAATGACCCCCAGGAGGAACAAGCAAGAGCAACCCAAAAGGAAGGAGCAACCAGTGCAGGATCCACCAAAACAGAAAGAGATAAAGGTGGAGGAGCAAGGCCTTACATTTGGCCCCAGTCCTGCACAACAGAAAAAAGATGAAGCAAACAGCAGTGACCAATCTGTGGAAAGTGCTGACT